GGCTTGGATTACAGTCTTCCTATTTGTGCTTCCCTGCATAGTTGGGATGACAGGGCTGAACCACTGCATCCAGCCACCGGTTGAGATGGGGGTCCCACTAACTTTTTGCCTGGGCTGGCCTCTAGATGTGATCCTCCCAATCTCCTCTTAAGTAGCCTGTAGACTTGAGCCACTGTGCTGAGCTAGAATTAAGAAAATTTAATAACCCGTTGTATATTGCCAGCACCATTGTTCTCTCATCTCAAACCATTGAACAGTGTTTCGCAGTGCAGTCCCAGGCTAGCAACATCACCAAAGAGCATATTAGAAATCAATTTCTTATGACCTACCCCAGAAGTTGTTAACCACAAACTCTGGGGAAGACCCAATAATTTTTGTTCAATAAGCTTTCTAGGTGATTCTGATATATAGTAAAGCTTGACAACCATTTCTGTTGAGAAAAAAAACTGACAATTCTGTATTCTAATGTGAAAGTTTACTTTAAAATATACTATGTAGTCAGTGTTCCATCACTGGGACAAAATATCTGAGAAAATCAGATTGAAAGGAAAAAAGATTTATTTTGGCTTATGACTTCACTGGTCACTTGGCCTCATCACTGTAGGCCTGAAGCAAGGCTCACCATCATGGCCAGAAGGGCATGGTGGAGCAAAACTCTTAAGAGCTCACATTATGGCAGTTGGGAAGCGAGGGTAGGGTGTGTCTAGGGACAACACATCTCCTTCAAAGGCATGGATTAATTCACTAATGAAGTTAGCGCCCTCATGATCTGATCATCTCTTTCACTAGTACCACTGGCTAATAATCCAAGCCTTCATTCAACACATGAACCTTTTGGAGGTGATATTTCATATTCAAACCACAACATTACCCCAACACTAATGGAATTTATTTTAGCCTATTAAAGTTGATAGATCCAAGACTAGATGCTTGAATGGGAGGGTGGATAAAGAAGGAAGGATACCTTATAGCTACATTACTGTGGTGATCATTGATACATACATCTGTGCTTGCTTAGTTGGAAATATATCTTGATTATGTTAGAGTAGAATTAAATTAAAATCTGTTCACCTTGCTAAAACTCTGCTATTTCTAAGTATGTGCATTTCATTGTTGTAGAATTTAGAATATGAGAAATACTAATCTGTTGATTAATCTGATTCTGTTTGAGTAAAACGCTGTCTTAGTTACTATAGCTTCGAAAGTTCTGTTATGTGGAAGAGGGCAATCCCTTTTTTTCTTTCTTTTTCTTTAGAAACGTATTGGCAAATTTTGCCCTTGTGGTCTTGCAAAGATCTCTTTTAGGATCAATTTATTAATTTCCAAAATATTGCTGGGATTTTTATGGAATTGCACAGAATCTATACATCAGTTGAGAAAAGTTGACGATTTATACTATTTAGCATTTCTAGCATAGACATAGTAAATACAGACTTAGTCTTACCTTCTCTTAGGTCTTTCATCCCTTAACAAAGGTTCATTATTTTGTCCCTAGAGATCTTATAATTTGTTCATTAGTACTTAGTACAGAGAACTTAGAGTCAAACTCACATGTTTATAGTTTTCTTCTTTGTAATGAATTTTCTACTTATTTCTTGCTTATGTTTAGAAATGCAGTTAATTTTTGGATATTGGTTTTTTAAATCTGTCCACTTTGCTAAGCTCTGTTACTTTAATTATGTGTCTATGAATTCTGCTGGACTTGTGTCTGATCATCTGCAAATGACAGTGTTATTTCCTCCTTTCTAATCCTGTGTCTTTATCTTTTTTATGTCTCTACCCATTGGAACCTCCAGAACATTGTTAAATAAAAATGTTCATAGTAGACTTGTTCCTGTTTTCTTGTTCCTACCTAAAAGAGAGTGCTTGTACTATTTCCCTATTATGTGTGATATTTTCTGAAGCTAACTTCTTTATAACCTTCAAATAGAATATAGGAGTTTTAAAAAAAAAACCCAAATTTCTTTTTCAATTATCAGAATATTGATAATTGTCAATAAGTTACCCACATGAGGAATTGTGAAGTCCATTTTTCTCAATTGTAGTGCCATAAAACTGGAATAATAGAAATTTAAGCATAGTGATTTAGAAAATTTTTAAGTGTCCTCTTTAATTTCAAAAAAAGAGCTTTGAAAAATTGTAACTAGACTTAAAGTTTTCAGAAAATAGTACCTGTAGGAACACTACATCATAATTTATGGGATAAGATTAAGGCCAGAGTCAAAAGTTATAGGCTTTAATGTTTTCCCTATGAAATAAAACAGTGAAAATTAATGAAATAAATATTCAACTTCCAATGTTGGATTGCTCTAGGGCTCAGTTCTCATGTTTCTTTATTTACTCTCTCCTTAGGAATCTCATTAATCTCACAGTTTTATTACTACCTATAAGTTTTAAACCTTTATATATTCTCTGCACTCAAGACATACATTCAGTTATCTACTGAACTTCTGCCCTTAGATGTCTAATCAGCATCTTATATTTAATGTCTAAAAGAGAACTTTGATCCACATTTCGCCCCCACAGGGTAAAAGCCTTACTCTACTTATGTTCTGCCTTTTAGTAAACGGCGCTAGCATTCAGACAGTTGGTCAGGCAAAATTATTGGTGTTAATCTTTGGCTCCTGTCTTAACAAATCATGCATTTCTACCTCTCTCAGCCTATCTTCCAACAGCATGTTGAATTATCTTCACATTCAGAATATATCACAATGTAACCATTTCTCATCAGTTCTACCATTCCAGTCTAATCTCCCACTGTCTCTTACAAAGTCTACTGCCTTATCAGATACTAGTAGATATCATTAAACTTGTTGAAATTGTGTGATATGTAATGTAGTGACAGACATTACAATGGAATCATAACCAACAATATGCCCCATTATATAAAAGAACTTAATACATGATAAAAGAAGTATAAAAATCAATACGGAAAGACATGCTTTCATAAATGTTACTCTGAAATTGGTCAGAAGCTTAATTTTACCTTTCATATAATAACAAACTCCAGAAATAAAAATAGTTAACATTTTTGCAGCGTTTACTACTTGTTGGACAGGATGCTAAATGCTTCACATAGACTATAATGAAGAGAACACAAATTAGAAGAGATCTATGACCATATGATCTCTAGAAATTAAAAGCTTACTAATCATAAAAATGTGAAATACTAAAGGAAAAAGTTGATGAAATTAGCTAATACAATTAGTTACATACTTTTCTGTTTTCTGAAATAGAAATTAAAGGGCAAATAGTGGATTCTGCTTCACAGCAGAAGCAGCATTGTTTTCTAATCTCCCTAGAGCCCCACATAAAAATGTAGCAGAACAATTATGTACCAACATTCAAAATTATAGACATGATTTACAAAAAAATTAGCTGATAATATCCACATAAGTCCCAAAAAATAAGCAGGAAACTTGACCAAAAACTTAAGTTCTCCATAGTTTTAGCTCCTGAGCAGGAGGTATCAGGAGAAAACACCAAGGCTATTTGGTGAAACTTAGAACAGTAGAGCTTCAAAATAAGTAACAAATGTTCATTGGACAGCTCAAAAGGCTGATTTTAGAACAAAGGCCAAAACTAGAAGGAATTTTATCCAGAGCAGGTGAATGCAGGGGTCCCATGCTGAGATCTAAATAGAGCAGTGAAACTTTACCCTGAGAATTCTCAAAAAAATAGCTAGTTCTCTCTTCCAGTTGAGGACCCCGTAGTGAACTTATAATCAAATTAGAGCAACACAGGGCAATAGAGATTAAAGAAAGAGGATACCTGAATGAAAGTAGAGAGAGGGATCCATCCAAGGCCTGGAAATCTCAGAAAACAAGTCTCCATATATTTAAGTTGTACATAAAAATAACAGACAGAGGTATGCCAAGTTCTGAAAGTTCAGAAATAACATTTTCAAATTAAATTTAGTGACAAAAGAATCATGGTCAAACGCTATAATTTTTTAATTCTAAATTTTTATTGAAACAAAAAGAATAAGGAACTAAGTAGCACCCATTTAGGCAATGAAACCACATTAGAAGCACATGCCCACAAAACAATAAAACCCTATTATTTCAAAATCTGCTAAAAGTACATTAAGAAAATGATACAGCACTTGAAAAAATAATGTAAGTCAGAACTATTAAAACTCAGAGAAGGGGATAGAATAAAGGAAAGAATTAGAAATATACAAATTAGAAATAAGCTAAAAGGGACACAAAAGCAAATAAACATAAATTCTGAAGAGAATCAAAAGAAGGAAATGTTTAAAATTTATGAAGAAAAAATAAAAATAATGTGAGAGAAACTGAGGGGGAATTAGGCAGAGAGTCTTCATTTCATAGGTAGTTAATACTGTTCTTGACTAGTTACATTATAAGCTCACCTTATAATAAGCCACACATTTGTTTTCTGAGCTTTTTTCTATATTTGTTTTATTTTACAATTAAAAGGTGATGAAATGTAACAAAAAGACAAACAATACACTGACAAATATTTGCCAAAATAGAAAAAACATGAAAAATTTCCTGCAAGGCTGTTGATGTAACTCTGGCAGAGCCCTGGCCTGTCATGCACAAGGCTCTGGACTCAGACATCTGTAAAGTTCATGCAAATTGATAAGAAAGTGCTAACATCCAGTGAAGAATTATAGATGACATAAATGGTTTGCATATTTTTAAAAAGCTAATAAATACTAAAAACATTCTTGACAATCTTTAGAAGTCGGGGAAAAAAACTGTCAGTTACCTTAGTAAATGGCTTTGGAGGGATGGAGATGGGAGGAAGCTTTGTACTAAATATATACATTAAGATGAGGTACAGCCTGATAGCTGTTGTGATGTGCTGGGGAGGATGGATAAGCCCACTGTGATAGGTTTGTCTCTCACAGGATCCCAAAGTGAGTGCAATACAAGATAATTTGTTTTCTGCTCACATTGAAACAGCCTGGCATTTGGTAATTTGAAAAAGTTTGTGATTAATTACATTGAATGCTTTCTTATACTTAACAGTGAGAGACCTACCACCAATTTGCCTTGATGTTAGACAAAAACAGCGTGTCTCCATAGATGCATCATCATCTGAAATGAAGGCCCCAGTCCTTCCAGAACCTATCCTTCCTTACCAGTCCAAAACTATGAAAGACTTTCAGTAAGTTTCAACTCATTCTTGTATGTAGACTACAGTCACCTACATGTCAGTATTTTATATGATTTAATATCTTTGTGTGACAATGGAATTTTATGCTGCCATGAAGAAGAACAAAATGTTACCATTCGCTGGTAAATGGATGGACTTGGAGAACATCATTCTGAGTAGGTTAACCTGGCCCAAAAGACCAAAAATCATATGTTCTCCCTCATATGCGGACATTAGATCAAGGGCAAACACAACAAGGGGATTAAACTTTGATCACAAGATAAAAGCGAGTGCACACAGGGAGATATGAGGATAGGTAAGACACCTAAAAAATTAGCTAGCATTTGTTGCTCTTAATGCAGAGAAACTAAAGCAGATACCTTAAAAGCAACTGAGGCCAATAGGAAAAGGGGAACAGGAACTAGAGAAAAGGTTAGATCAAAAAGAATTAACCTAGAAGGTAACACACATGCAGAGGAAATTAATGTGAGTCAACTCCCTGTATAGCTATCCTTATCTCAACTAGCAAAAACCCTTGTTCCTTCCTATTATTGCTTATACTCTCTCTTCAACAAAATTAGAGATAAGGGCGAAATAGTTTCTGCCGGGTATCAAGGGGGTGGGGGGGGAGGGGGAGGGGGCAGAGTGTGTAGTAAGGGAGGGGGGGAGGGGGGAGAAATGACCCAAGCAGTATATGCACATATGAATAATAAAAAAATTTTAAAAATATATATCTTTGTGTGAGAAAGTAATTGAATTTATGGATTGTTATAAGGTATTAGACAAGTATGAAGACAAAAAAGACTAGATGTCTAAGTTGAAAATGAAAACAAATGTATAAATATCAGGTAGGGGTTAGATATGTTGAAGCAAAAGAAAGAAAACACTGAGGAAGAAAATAAGTCAAAATAAGCAACAACAACAAAAAAAAGATAAAGGTGACAAAATAATAGAACCCCACCACTTAAAAAAATAAGAGTTCCACTACTATGTAATGAATAGCTGTAAAAGCTGTGTTACCAGTCAAAAACTTAAAATGCATAATTTGAAGGACTAGTGGAAACACAGAGTGTAAACAAATCTCCAGATGCTTGATTATGAAAAAGAGGAAAGAGACAGTTTTATTTAGAAGGGGCATGTCAAGAATGAACTTTTTTTAAAAGCAGGTAAATGGGAAAGGTAAAGCTGGATTAATATCTTAATCTAATTAAGAATTATAAATTCATGAACTACTTTAATATTAATTAACTGGAATGGATTTCTATATTTGGTTTCAGTATTTCACATTGTGTAATTGGAGACATTTATAAAAAAGAAATGCTATTTTTATCTGAATAAAATTTCTATCTATATATGGTTAATATATGTTTTCATTTTAGGGAGGATGTAGAAAAAGTTAAGTCATCAGGAGATTGGAAAACAGTACATGATTTTTATCTTAAAACATTTGATTCTTTCCCAGACTTAAATGCTGCATTTAAGGTAATAATATATAAAACAACATTTTTTATTCACTTTTTGTTTTAAATCTTCCAAAACAGATATAACTCTACTTCATTTCCTACCCAATATTGACTTAAGCAACTTTTAAGCATATATAAATATATGTATTAAATTTTTTAAATTATATTTATCAGAAATATTACTTAAGTGATATCTTAAATATTGCATTTATTTGTAGCTATTAATGCGTGACTCCATTCTTTCAGTTTTCATAAAGTTAGGGCAGTCTTGCCCTAATACTTGTTTTTTATCCTCAGACTACAAAACAGTAAAAAAAAAAAAATTCAAGGAATAGAGTGGTTCAGATATTGTTAAGAACAGTCTTTAAAATGTTAAATACACTTAAATTCTTTAACTAAATTTGCAGAAAGATGCCACTGCTTCATTTAATACCATTGAAGACTCTGGAATTAATGCTAAATTTGTGAATGCTGTCTATGATGCCTTGCTTAATACTGTAAGTATTGTTTGTGGATACATTCAAATGTCCGTGTCTCTTTTGTATTTCAAATGCAGCCACACAAACATTGTAAAAATCTGTTTGTAACATAATTGCATTAGAAACTTACTTTTTACAGCAAATGTAGTTGGAATTCTCAGAAAGTTAGATCATTTTGCCCCTCTATTTTTCTAATTAATTGGGAATTAAGCAGAAAATAATTTTGCATCCAGTCTTTGTTTAGAAAAGCTTTCAAAAACATACTTCTCTTATTCAGGAAAAGAAAGTAAGTTACTTCATTATATTGGAATTGTACTGAATCTATAGATCAGTGGTTCTTAAAGTTTAATGTGTATCAGTCATAAGCAGTACTTGTTAAAATACAGAGTTCCAGATTTAGTAGGTCTTGGGTGGAGCTCAAGAATTTTCATTTGTAACAAGTTCCCAGGATATGTTGATGCTTCTGATACAAACCACATTTTGAGAACCCATGCCAGGCATGAGGACACATTGCTGTAATCCCAACACTTTAGTGGCTGAGGCAGGAGGATCTTGAGTTCAAGCCTGAGATGCATAGCAATTTCAGGGACAACCTGACTAGATAGTGAGACCATGTCTCAAAAAGCAAAGAAACAAAACAAAACAAAATCCCAAAGGTATAGATAAATTTGTGAAGAACTGATATTCTTTCCTTCCATGAGGGTAGAAGTTACATAGATTTTCTTTAGACTCTCTCCACAATGTTTTACAGTTTTCTGAGTAAAGATGTTACATATTTCTTGTTACATTTATTTCTAGGTACTAAGTTCGTTTTCTAACTATAGCTATCACAACAGTGCTTTCATGTATTTATCTGATTACTTTGCTAAACTCATTCATTGATTTTAATTAGAAAATTTACTTGGATTTTCTCTGTACACAAAACATCATTTATGAAAAATGTGAATTTTGTCTTTTTTTTTTTTTCATTTTGTCTTTTTTTTTAATGTCTTGACTGGATATATGTACATGTTTGCCTTATTACACTGGCTAGGACCTATTGTACAGTTTTGAATAAAAGAGTTAATAGCAGACCTCTTCACTTTATTCCCAATCTGAGTACTTCACTGTTAAATATATGAAAGGGCACCTAACGTTTGTCATCAGAGCAATGGAAATAATATCACCCATCAAATTTAATTAAAAGTTTTCAAAAACCTAAAGTACTGGCAATCTTGTAGAATAATTAGAAGTTTCATACCTTGACATTTTTATAGTAAATGTAGTTGGAATTCTCAAAAAGTTGACAAGGTAAGTGTAACTTGGCACAAGCTCTTCGAAGACTATTTGGTATTATCTACCAAAACCAAGCATATACATACATTATGACCAATAATTCTACCCCCTAGGTATCGTTCTCTGACAGTTTTTGACTTGGAATTTTATTAATGTTTTATATATGCTATAAAAAAATTAAAATATAGAGGACATGAAAGAAAAAACCCTACGGTAAATATAAATAGAAAATAATTAAACCCAAATATATTCTAAAAAAACTAAATATATTTCAAATAAGTAAACTTAGTTATATATTGAATACTATAACCATATTTAAAATACTCAGAAAAGTAACTTTTAACCACAATATATTAATTATGTATCTTCAATTTAAAAATTCTTTTTTCTCTCTTTTTTTTTGGAAGTACTGGGTTCTTTGAACTGAGAGCCTCACACTTGCCAGGCTCTACCATTTGAGTGATGCCCCAGTCCTTTCTGCTTTAGTTATTTTTCAGGTAGGTTCTTGCATTTTTGCCCAGGTAGGCTTGACTGATCCTTCTACCCATGGCCTCCTGTGTAGCTGGAATCACAGGCACATGCCAGCCCCCAGCTTATTGGTTGAGATGGGGTCTTGCTAATTTTTTGCCCAGGCTGGGACCACCGTTCTTCTGATCTCTGCTTCCTGTGTAACTGGGATTACAAGTATGAGCCACCATGCCTAGTCTTTAAAGATTGTTTAAAACCCCAAACTGTAAACAAATCTTCAGAGTTTGGGGGTTTTTTTGTTTGTTTTTTGGTGGGGCTGGAGGTTGAACTCAGAACTTCATACTTTCAAAGCAGGGGCTCTACTGCTTGAGCCATACCTCCAGTCCATTTTGTTCTGGTTACTTTGGAGATGGAGTCTCATAAACTGTTCATCCAGGCTGGCCATGAACCACAATCCTCCCAATCTCAACCTCCCAAGTAGCTAGGATTACAGGTGTGAGCCACTGGCACTTGGCAAACTGTTGTATTTGGTGGATTTTTTTTTTTTCTATTTTCCTTCCTGGTTTTTTTTTTTTTTTTGGCAGTACTGTGGTTTGAATTCAGGATCTTGTGCTTGTTAGGCAAACATCCTAACACTTAAGCCACACCTCCTTTAGCTTTTCTTAAGTTTCTTTCCTTGGTAATATGGGTTAACAATTCTGAAACTGCTTTCTGTGTATTGTTGCAGTAAACAAACAAGTAAACATATTTATGATACTGGGAGTCATGTTTCTCACTTTTGGAAAAGGGTGATACAAATAAGGGATGGAGGAAAACTAAAAATAACCCTGGTTTTTTAAATTGAAATGGAGGCATTATGATGAACTCATGTTTTTTAACAGATTTAGGGGTGTGTGTGTGTGTGTGGTGTGTGTGTGTGTCCCCTAACCTTGTTTGCTAAAAAGGCCTAGAAGCAATAACACCCCAATAGCAGTGACCATTTCAGCATTACAGATCTTGGCTTCTAAAAATCACTAAAAGGAATCAGCCCAAGGGAAATGGTTAATTCCATGACTGACGCAGTGAAAGTACATTGCAAACCTGGAACATCTAGTTTCTCACCATTAATTATATTAGCTGTAGGTTTCTTTTAGTGATTCTTTTTCAAGAGATTTTTCTCTATCCCTAGTTTGCTGAGACTTTTTATCATGAATGTCTATTAAATTTTGTCAGAAAATTCTTTTGTATCTATCGATATGATCATATAATTTTTCTTCCCTAGCTTGTTGATATAATGAATTACATAGGATGATTTCAAATGTTGAACAAGCCTTGCACACCTTGAATAAATCCCACTTGGTCATGGCGTATAGTTCTTTTTATGCATCCTACTGTTTTGTTGAGTATTTTGTATCTGTGTTCATAAGCATACTGGTCTGCAATTTTCCTTTATTGTGATATATTTCCTTGGTTTGGGCACCAAAGAATAGGTTAGGAAGTTATCTCTCTGCTTCTATGTTCTGGAAAAAGTTGTAAAGAATTAGTATCATCTCTTTGTTAATTATTTCATAGAATTCACCAGAAAAAAACATCTGGACCTGGTGCTTTGTTATTTCAGAAGACTATCAGTTATTGATTCAGTTAGACCTAATAGGTTTAGGCCTGTTGAGATGATCCGTTTGTCCATGTATGAATTTTGGTACATAGTGTATTTGATAACAGCTGGGTTATCAAATTTATGGGCATAGACTCGTTCACATTAGTCCTTTATTATTCTGTTAATGTCCATGTGATCAGAAGTGATGATCATTTATTTGGGGCATTAGTAATTAGCATCTTCTCTCTTCCTTTCATGATTAGTCTACCTAGATGTTTATTAATTTTACTGAACACTTTAAAAAAAATTCAGTTTTATTTTCTCTCATATTTCTGCTCTGAAGTTTTATATCTTCTGCTTATTTCAGATTTAATTTGCTCATTTGTTTCAGTTTTCTGAGGTAGAAGCTTAGATAACAGTTTTATAAAGTTCTTTCTTTTTTTAATGTATTCATTGAGTGCTACACTGTTTTTGCTATATCCTACAAATCTTAATAAGTTTTATTCTTGTTGTTTTACAAAACTAAACATGAGTCTGTGAGCTATTGTTCTTCTAGGTATTTACCCAAATGAATTACAAACTTATGTCCAACTTCCTGGCTGCCGTGAGGTGAGCAGCTTTTCCTCTGCCGTGAGGTGAGCAGCTTTTCCTCTGCCATGCCCTTCCACCATGTTTCTGCCTTGCAACAGGCCTGAAAGAAATGGAGCCAGCTGACCATATTCTGAAACATTTGAAACCATAAAGAAACTGAAGCTTGCCTAAGAATGTTTAATTAGGAAGTCAGAATTCAAACCCAGGACTTGTCCAGTTTCTCCTACTTTCATCCAAATGTGCAAATATCTTTCCAATAGATTGAAGCACAATCTTAAAACCGTGTAGTTTTCCTGGTTTTTGTTTGTTTTTTGGGCAGTACTGAAATTTTAACTCAGAGCTTTCACCTTGAACCACTCCACTAGCCCTTTTTTGTGATGAGTTTTTTCAAGATAGGGTTCAGGAACTATTTGCCCAGGCTGGCTTTGAACCGCAGTCCTCCTAATCTCTGCCTCCTGAGTAGCTAGGATTACAGGCCTGAACCACCAGCACCTGGCTCCATGCAGTTTTCTTGCTGTAGTTGGATCATGATTTTAAAATTAATAGTGACTCATGCATTCATATGATGGAATACTCAAAAATGCAAAGAAGTAAGCCATCAAGCCACAAAAAGATGTGGCAAAACCTTTTCATATTGCTTGCTAAGTGAAAAAAGCTAGTTTTAAATGGCTATATACTAAATGATTCCAACTTGATAATTTGGAAAAGGTAGTAAAAAGGACAGGGGTTTGGGGAGAGTTGAAAGACGGGGTGAGTAGGTGAAGCAAAGGGGATTTTTAAGGTGGTAAAAACTATTCCGTATGATCTGTATTGACAGATACATGACATTATGCATTTGTCAAAACCCATAGAACTATACATTAGTGAACCCTAATGTAAACTGTAGGTCTTAATTAAGAATAATGTATTAAATATTGGTTCCACACTGACTCATGTTACTAATATTAAGGGAAACTTTGTAAAAAAATCCCAGAGATTGTAAGTGGAAATTGTACTTTCTGCACAGTTTTCTGTAATCCTAAGACTTCTTTAAAAAATAAAGTATATTGCTAATAAAATGTTGTAGGCATATCACAAAAGCCAACTTGACCCAATGGCCAAATCTGAAGCAATTTGACTATTAAAAGTGATAATAATGAGTTATAATCACTTGTAAAATAAGAATCTTTCAGTCCTTACCGATAGAGGGTAGGTAGATAAATAAATGTACAAATAGATAGAAGTAGGCGATATGAAAGGAATGTAGACTAGTAAATACAAACAGAATGATAAATTTTTTAAATTTATCATTATTATTTTTTGCAACTACCATAGTAATAATTGAGCCAGTCGTCATCTTAACAGGTTAACTAAGTTACCACACTGAGAACTGACATTGAGTGCTTCTTGATGTGATACACTGAGGGGACCCATCATCATGAAAATCCCAAAGTAAGAAATACTCAGCAAAACACATGGCCTGAGCTCTTCAAAATGTCAGTATCATGAAAGACCAAAACAAAAATTGCTGAGAAGATTTAAAATACAGTTATCTTGGGAAGTGGCGAGGTGTTGTTGAGTGTGTTTTTGAGATTTGTGGTCATAAATGCAGGTATGTGGTCAATCCACACATTTGTTTAATTGTTCTACGGTCTTCCATTGCTCAGAGGTGGACACTAAATAGGGGGTTGAGCAGGGGTAGTATTTGCCTTCTTTGTGCAAAGAATCACTGTGAGCAGCAGAAGAAAAAGGAATGCTATGTTAAATAAATAAACATACGAGGTAGGCTTAATGAATGTTGACAGATGGGCCTTGGAAGTCATGGTTGTGGTTTTTTTAAACAGATCCACATTTTATTTATTTTTTTTGACATTTGCCTTCTTCATATAATCACATAAATTTCTCTTAGGTACTTGAAGCTTCTAATTATGAAGCTTTTATCCTGTTTTTTATTATATGCTAAAGTGCATCTGTATATATTTTATTCTCATTCATTCTTATTTAAGATGTTATTAAGATTGTTTTTAGTATTTGAATCATTAAACTATAAAGAAGTATTATTTTATACTGTTTCAGATCGATGCTATAATTTTTTATCTGTTTTTAATTAAACAAATTTGTTTATACTTAATGAATTATGGGTTTAACTGCTAATTATAACCTAGTAGGACTAATATTTCAAATAGCCAGGTGTGGTGGCACATACCTATAATTCTGTCACTCCACTCAGGAGGCTGAAGTAGGATCACAAGTTTGGGGCCACCCTGGGCTATATAGCAAGACTTGTCTCAAAAAAATATATGTTCTGAACAGATATATGTATGTGAGTATATATATATATATATACATATATATACATATATATACACACACACACAAAATATATATATATGCAGGTGATTTTAAATTGGCAGACATACTACTGTTGAAGTTGTATTCTTGATTTTGTCATGTCAAGTCAGGGAAAGTGAAATTATTTTTCATTTATGTAAAACTGTTGTTGACCATCAAAGGACCACCATATATGTATTCACACATTTGTACAGTCTCATTGTAACCTATGTCATTGGTGCTCCCTAGGGTCCAAAGATGTAAAATAGGTACCACTCTAGGTGTCAGTCCTCAGTCATCAAGTCTGATTTTAATTATTGAGACACCGTTAAATATAATTAACATATAAAAGCTCACCTAAGTAGCTAATTCTAATTGCTACACTTTTTTATTTTCTTTTGCCTGCAGCCTCAAGACATTCAGAAGACAGTATTAAAGGGGATCATTAACAGCTTGTTACAAGAATGGAAAGGGTAATTGTAATCATATGTAACTAATCAGTATATATTATTACCGTACACATCCTGTGTATTTTAATATATGTGTTTTTTACTCAGAAAATATTTTAGCTCAACTATACTAATAACATGGATCAAAAAGGGATTATAAACTACTTGAAACAAAGCTGCTTCACCTGATTCTGTGGTGTGCATCAAAAAATCCCGGAATCTTTCTAACTTACATGCAATGTTTTTGCGCACAGATACACATTCTTCACAAATATAGGATGGACACTAATCAGCAACCTAAGTGAAATATGTTGAGCATTAAATTATAATAAAAATATCATCAAAAAATTACAAGAAATTAAACCCACTTATACTGTTTGATTCCCATGCCTGATAATTCATGTGGGTATAAATGACACTGCCAGTTTTAGGACGTCCTAGGTAAAATGGAAAAAACTTAGAAGCAAAAGTAATAGAAATAGGTTTTGAGAAAATGAGAACAAAATGTTCAACAGCCTTGAGAATAATAAAAACTTTAATATCTGAGTTTTGTTTTTCAATCCTGGATTCAGTTAAGGATCTTGAAATGTATCTGGTTGACATATAAATGAAATATTTTTAATTCAGAAAGTAACTTCTAGGTATCTATGAAAGTGTAGCAAGTGGATCATGAGCAGGAGAGAAACGCTCATCAGGCTTGGGAATAACAGAAGTTCCTGGTCAAATCTGACAGTGTAAAAATCCAGATTTTTAAATTACTGTTTAGAAATATCCAAAATATGATTCTTTTAATTAGAAACATACTATATGCATTTAAATTATGATTTGATCCGCAGACAATTCTACATCTATCACTTTAGGAATGGACCTGAAAACACAAGTGTATTTTCTTTCTTTAATGTATAAATATTAAGTAAAGATTATCCCATATTAAAACAAAAGCTTAAGTATTATATAATCGTTGATTGTTTATTAGACTCTTAGCCATTTCCAGAGTTAATCATGATATTTACCCTAAAATTTTGTAGCTATCCTAGCGAACTTACTCTTTACGTGTCTTCAGAACCAATCTACTGTAGGTGCAGAAGAACCCATATTCCTAGCATATTGAAGACATGTTACTTTATTTTCTCAGTTCTTGCAGAAACACTTATTGGTCCTTTTTATTTGATACTATGAAATGAAATACTCTTGTTTATTTTTTTTCTTTATTCATTTATTCTCCTCCCTCTCCCCCCTTCCCCCAACTCCCTTCGCTTCCAGGCAGAACCTGTTCTGCCCTTGTCTCCAGTTTTGTTGAAGAGTAGACATAAGCAATAATAAGGAAGACATAGCATTTTTGCTAGTTGAGATAAGGATAGCTATACAGAGAGATTCCTAGCATTGCTTCCATGCACAAGTGTATTACAACCCAAATTGGTTCATCTCTACCTGACCTCTTCACTACTTCTCAGTCACCTTCCCATATTGACCTCTGTAGTGTTAAGGTTACTGTATTAGCTCTTCTGCAGTGGGCACATCAAACACTTTCAAGTTTTGGGTTTCCTACCTTTCCCTGTTCCTCCTGTATATGTCCTACCCTTAGCGTGTGACCCAAGTTTAATAATATTACTGCATTTGTTTTAGATCTAAAGTCTACATATGAGGGAGAACATATGATTTTTGGCTTTCTGAGCCTGACTAACTTTACTTAAGATGATGTTCTCCAGTTCCATCCATTTACTTGCAAATGATAAGATTTCATTCTTCTTCATGGCTGAGTAAAAGTCCATTGTGTATTTATACCACATTTTCTTTTTTTTTTTTTATTCATATGTGCATACAATGCTTGGGTCATTTCTCCCCCCTTCCCCTATCCCCTCCCTTACCACCTACTCCGCCCCCTCTCTCTCCCCCCACCCCCTCGATACCCAGCAGAAACTATTTTGCCCTTATCTCTAATTTTGTTGAAGAGAGAGTATAAGCAATAATAGGAAGGAACAAGGGTTTTTGCTAGTTGAGATAAGGATAGCTGTACAGGTAGTTGACTCACAATTTCCTGTGCATGTGTGTTACCTTCTAGGTTAATTCTTCTTGATCTAACCTTTTCTCTAGTTCCTGGTCCCCTTCTCCTATTGGCCTCAGTTGCTTTTAAGAATACCACATTTTCTTAATCCATTTGTCAGTAGTAGGGCATCCATAATTTGGCTATTGTGAAAAGCACTGCAATAAACATGGGTGTGCAGGTGCCTCTGGAGTAACCTGAGTCACATTCCTTTGGGTATATCACTAGGAGTCCAATTGCTGGATCATATGGCAGACCTATGTTTAGTTCTTTAAGAAGCCTCCATATTGTTTTCCAGAATGGTTGTACTAGCTTGCATTCCCACCAGCAGTGTATAAAGGGTTCCTTTTTCCCCACATCCTCGCCAACATTTGTTGTTGGTGAAGTTTTTGATGATAGCTATTCTAATGAGTGAGGTGGCGTCTTAGTGTGGTTTTGTTTGGCATTTCCTTTATGGCTAGAGATGGTGAGCACTTTTTCATGTATTTTTTGGCCATTTAAATTTCTTCTTTTGAAAAAGTTCTGTTTAGTTCAGTTGCCCATTTCTTTATTGGTTCATTGATTTTGGGGGAGTTTAGTTTTTTGAGCTCCCTGTATATTCTGGTTATCAGTCCTTTATCTGATGTATAGCTGGCAAATATTTTCTCCCACTCTGTGGGTGGTCTCTTCAGTTTAGAAACCATTTCTTTTGTTGTGCAGAAGCTTTTTAATTTTATGTGGTCCCATTTGTCCATCCTTTCTCTTAGTTGCTGAGGTGCTGGGGTTCTATTGAGGAAGTCCTTGCCTATTCCTATTGCTTCCAGAGTATTCTCTGTTCTTTCCTGTACTAACTTCAGAGTTTCAGGTCTGACATTAAGGTCCTTGATCTACTTTGAGTTAATACTAGTGCAGGGTAATAAACATGGATCTAGTTTCAGTTTTCTGCAGGGAGATAACCACTTTTCTGAGCAACATTTGTTGAAGAGGCTGTCTTTTCTCCATTGTATGTTTTTGGCAACTTTGTCAAAAATAAGGTGGGCATAGCTGTGTGGATTCATACCTGGGTCCTCTATTCTGTTCCACTGGTCTTCATGTCTGTTTTTGTGCCAGTACCATGCTGTTTTTATTGCTATGGCTTTGTAATATAGTTTGAAGTCAGGTATTGTGATACCTCCAGCATTGCTCTTTTTGCTGAGTATTGCCTTGGCTATTTGCGGTCACTTGTGTTTCCAAATAAACTTTAGGGTAGATTTTTCAATCTCTGTGATGAATGTCATTGGGATTTTGATGGGAATTGTGTTGAACATGTAGATTGCTTTTGGTAGTATAGCCATTTTTACTATGTTGATTCTACCAATCCACGAGCACAGGAGATCTTTCCACCTTCTGTAGTCTTCCTCAATCTTTTTCTTCGGGGGTTTGTAGTTCTTGTAGAGGTCATTCACATCCTTTGTTAAGTTTACTCCTGGGTATTTGATTTTTTTTTTTTGAGGCTATTGTACATGGAATTGTTTCCATATATTCTTTCTCAATTTGTTCGTTGTTGGTGTATAGAAAAGCTAATGATTTTTATAAGTTGATTTTTTTATCCTGCCACCTTGCCAAAGCTATTTATGGTATCTAGGAGTTTTGGGGTAGAGTTTTTTTGGGTCTTTAAGATACAGGATCATGTCGTCTGCAGATAGGAATATTTTGACAGTTTCGTTACCTATTTGTATTCCTTTTATTTCTTCTTCTTGCCTAATTGTTCTGGCTAGGAATTCCAGGACTATGTTGAATAGGAGTGGGGAAAATGAGCACCCTTGTTTCATTCCTGATTTTAGGGGAAATGGTTTCAGTTTTTCTCCATTAAGTATGATGTTGGCTATAGGTTTGTCATATACAGCCTTTACAATGTTGAGGTACATTCTTTCTATTCCTAGTTTTCTTAGAGCTTTTATCATGAATTGGTGTTGGATATTATCAAAAGCTTTTTCTGCATCTATTGAGATGATCAAGTGGTTTTTGTCTTTGCTTCTATTAATGTGTTGTATTACATTTATAGATTTGCATATGTTGAACCACCCCTGCATCCCTGGGATGAAGCTGACTTCATCTTTCTGACATATTGTTGGATTCAGTTTGCCATTATTTTATTGAGGATTTTTGCATCGATGTTCATTAAGGAGATTGGCCTAATTTTCTCCTTTTTGGAGGTGTCTTTGTCTGGTTTTGGGATGAATGTAATACTGGCTTCACAGGATGAGTTAGGCAGTGTTCCTTCCTTTTCTATTTCATGGAACAGTTTGAGAGTTGGTATTAGTTCTTCTTTGAAGGTCTGATAGAATTCAGCAGAGAATCCATCAGGTCTTGGACTTTTCTTTTTTGGGAGACTTTATTGCTGCTTCAATTTCATTTCATGTTATAGATCTATTTAGGTGGTTAATACCCTCTTGGTTCAATTTTGGATGGTCATAAGTATCTAGAAATTTGTTCATTTCTTCAAGATTGAAATACTCTTCTTTAATCAACTATGCATTATCTCTTTCAGCCCACGAACAAAAGATGATCTTCGAGCATATTTTATACTTTTACAGGTAAGAGAGCAAGAACTTAGTGAAAGTTATTGCATTCAGATCTCAATCTGTGCAAGTGTAAGTGAAATGATATTAAACATTAGGTATCATTTTGGCAGCATTATTGGTACTTTTATTGGTTTCTTCTACCAAAGGATTAATGCCATAACAAACATTTAGAAGCTAAATTGCATGAGGGATTTAATTTTTAATTTAATTCTTGCCTCCTTGCCACCGTATTTGAGAACAGAATGAAAGTGATTCTTCCTTCCCCATTCAAACCCCCTTTCTTGTAACTAATTTTAATTGGCTACAGGACTTTCTTACATTTCTCCATCAAGGTTTCTAACTTCTCTATATATCTTTCAATAATGCTTTCATTAGAATTCTGATGGAAAGATAAAAGTTGCTTATATTTTTTTTATAAAGCAAAAGTGATAAACTTTTCCCCCAAGAGATACGGATTTATAGGTACAAAAATAAATTAAAGCCCAGACAAAGAAAAGCAGTTTTTAATTTTTAATATTGGTGAGTATATTAGTCAGCACTGTCTGTGATTATGATATCTATTGTCCCAGAGCTAGGTCTCTCATTTTGAATTGTTCTGCCAAATGGTACTCTCTTATTTTTATAATTACAGTTTATTTTCAGTCCTATTCATTGTTTAACAGGAAATGCTGAAATGTACATGATAATGGAATTTAGATTTTGGAAACTACAGATTTTGCTTAATTTACAAGCACTCCTTCATTGTTCCTTTAACATTTAGAAGTTATCACAAGCTGTTATCTGTGAGATATATAGGTAACTTATTTCCCAATAGCAAAAGTTTCACAACTTGCTTTTGTTTAACTTTCTAGCATTTTTTAAATCAAAGAAAACCCCAATTTTTTGTTTAATTGGAGAATGGTAATTGCAGTGTTTATGAAGGCACTGAGCTAGGTCCTTTACATACATTTTCCTTTTTTAATACTCAAAACAACTCTTAAGATAGATATTATTCCCATTTTACAGATGAGGAAATTGAGAGTCAAAGATTAAGGAACACGTATAACTGCACACAGCTAATAAATAGTAGAATCAACCCTCCAAACACAGCTTGTCTGAACTCCAGCACTCATGTGCTTTCAACTGTATTGCAACTTAAACCAGTCTCTACCAATTAAACAATAAATAGATTGTTTTAAAGTATTTCATAGTCACAAATTTAGTTTCCTGAATTTACCATTTAACTGATTAAGCTAAGTGTCTTCCCTTTTACATGTTAACACAATTTTAACATAATTACCTCTACTGTCTTTTTCAGAATCCTCAGTTTAATAATACATCTACATATGTCATCTATGCTCATTTGCTGCGACAGATAGCCACCTTAGTGGAAGCTGACCATCATTTCCTAGTTCACTGGTGTAAAAAGTAAATCATTCTATAATATTAAGAGCTTTTATAGTCTCACAGTTTTAAGTTGATATTAGTAATTCCACAGTAAAATATATTTGAATGTTTTAAGGTCTTTAGAAATGATGCTTATAATTTGCAGGGATTCAGAAGCCAATTATAAAAAATATATTTTACTACCACATAAAGGATAATTAAAATCTTTTTAATATAAGTAACCATTTTACTTGTACAAACTCTTGAAATTATCCACCACTTTCAATGTTTGTATAACACATTGTTGTCATTGATTTTTTTATATCTCAGATATATGGTGACCTGATTCACTCAGACTTTACTATTTTAATGTATGTCTTTTTATTTCCTGTTTATTCACAAATCTCACCATTATTTACATAGTACTTTCTTCTCACCTAGAAACATCAAATTGAAAAAGTACCATAATTTTTTTCCCCTCAGAACTATATTCACATCAGCAAAGAATTTCCTCCATCATGGGTAAAAGCTAAAAAAGCAAAATATTTCCAAAATAAACTTTAAATACTGTCAGTTCTCATTATTCACAATAGTTATAATCTGCAAAGTAACTACAAATGCAGAATTAGCAAACATTGACTGAACCATCACTCCTTGGGAAAACACAGTGTTAGGTTCCTGAGAGCCTCTGATCACATTTTTGTCAACTGATCAATGTAAAACTGCTTTATGAGTGTTAAAGACACCTTACTTAATGAAAATTCTTAGCTCATTAACATTGAATTCATAACAGTAGCACTATAACTCATGCCTGAATGAAGCTAATGTAACACATATTTTCTCTGTAAGGTGCATCATTTCCTTCTTGTTTATAGGAACGCTAGCCAGCACTTTATTCACTATAGTTGAATGACATTTTGAAATAGCAAAATCACCAACAAAAAGCACAAAAATATGAAGAATGTGCCATTAGGCTGTGTAAATAGTCTGAGAAATAAAATAAGGCAGAGCATCTCCTTATTTGACTTCATCTGGAGATGTGCACATCAGGTGACTCAAAAGTTTTCACCATTCTTTTCATGTCCATGAATGACCAACAAAGCACAAGTATTGATTTTGAATTTACAATTAAATTTTAGCAAGTAGGCAAATTTACAACTACAGAATCTGTGAATAATGAAGATCGACTAAATATTGACAATCTTAAAAATTAAATTAACTAATCTTATGATAATTTTTGTGTTTGTTTCCTGTTTAATTAAGAAACAGTATTGATGGTAGGATTCCATATCTTTTAAAATGTTGGCAATTTAAGAAATAGAATTGAAGAGAATAGTCTAAAAGTTTGTTGTATAGGATATAGTTGATATCTAACAAATATATTAAAAAATAGAAAATGAGAATTTTGACTAGAATATTTTAAAATCTTTACCAGATTATCCCAGAAGAGGTTCAAACAATTGGTAGAGAAATTACTGCAATTTATTTCTTTACGCCTGTTTCCTGCAAAGCCTGAAGAGTTTCCACCTATAACCAAGTGTTCCTGGTGGATTCCATCAGCATCTAAAGTGTTGGCTTTACTTAGTAGGTTTTTATTATTCTATCTTTTCTTTTGTTAAATATTCAAGACATTCTTCAAGGATCCCAAAGTACTGTAGAGGCATTCTTAAATTTTAAACCATTGAAGGAAGAATTTGTAATTTTTTGTTTTGATGTTGGATTTCACAACTAATTTATAGCATGAAGAAAGCTTTGTGCTTTTGCTGAGTAGTATTCTGTAATACAGCTGTTTAAGTGTATATTGTCTGCTAAATAGTGATTCCTGAAAAAAATACAAATTTTCATTAATTACTGAGGACCCCTAGTAGAGAACACACTGGTGGGGAAATACATGAGTAGTTGGCCACTTAAGTATTCCTTTTACTTTATCTATGATCCCCATCACAAGTTTTTTAAAAGTAAGAAATTGTTAGCTGCCTTCTGACCCTAATGTTAAAATTATCTTTCTTACTGATGCTATAGTTGTTTAAAACTGAAGTCTCTTAAGTCAGGGCTAGCAAGTAGAGATTAAAATGTTTTTGTTATTAGAATGAATCATGTGCGTGTTGGAAAAGACCATTATGTTAGAATTTATCCTTACAGATACTGCAAACAATTTGGTTCGCCCTCCCCTTATTCCTTATACTGATTTCTATAATTCTACATTGGATCACATTGATCTCATGGAAGAATATCATACTTGGCAGAGCTTTGGAAACTCTCACAGGTACAATCAAAAGTTCATCTGATTGATTATTCACCTAACTGAAATACTGTTCAAAATAATGACTGCATTTTAAGTTTGTATGAATAAAATGTCCATGTACCTTTACATGTAAATGTAAAGTTATATAGTTTAGTTACACAGCCTTGCAATATCATTGTATTCAGGCATTTTCTTTTTCTGCTACATTTTGAATACACATGTTAATTTGGTTTGGGTTTAGTTAGTAGCATCTTTTCAAGAGGGAGAGGTTTTATCCTAGTATACTTTCTGGTATCTCATTATTCTATGTGCTATAATCTAGCACAAAGGTCAGCAACTTTCTACAAAGGCCTAGATGGTAAATATTTTTAGTTCTGTGAGCTATATAGATTGTTTTGTTATTTTAGCACAAAACACCCTTAGACAATATAAATGAATGAGCATGTCTGTGTTCCAAATAACTTTATTTCAAAAACAATTGGTAGGCCATATTTGCTAGTGCCTAATCTAACACATTGATCACACACATATGTACACATACACACAATCACTACTTTTCCCCTTACTCTGAAGAAAAAGTGGTTGTGCATATGTACAGTACAAAAAGAATAGATATTACAGAGAAAGGACATCACCACAGATTATTTGATGTAATAGACTTTCAAAATACCTGACCAGATTCTTTAATGAACTGCATTTTTTGTCCAAACATCTAAATTGGATTAAGCTAGGAAGACTATCCCTAATATAATTTATTCCCAAACTATGAAATGTGTAGTAGATTATCTTTATTATAAAAGAGACCAAGAGATATAGATACAAATAAAACCACAGATGAGTTCGTAAATTATTTAAATTTTCCCGGGACACTCATTTATCATAATTGGCCTAAAATATAGAATTGTTTTGTGGACATATTTCAGCCCACATCCAAATAGTCAAAACTAAATAAAACTTTGTTCTGGGAACTCTGGTCAGTCTGATGGATACTTCTGGCAAAATTTATTTTATAAAGATATTTTTATAATCACACTTTTCTTACCATTTTAATATAATGTGACCACAAAACTGAGGGACATCTTTTAATAGAGAGCTTCCTCTAACCACTGTGCTCAGCAGTGTACCAAGAATAAACTGCCTACTTCTTGATAATTTTTCATTTGCCCTTGTAGCCAGCTTGAACCTGAAGTGAAATTTGGAGTCTTAGGGCAAGTCATCTCTGCCCGTGAGCAGCCTCATCTATTTATCTGAGTATTTCATGCATATAGCATCATTATCTTATGTAGTATAACAAGGGAAAAGTTAGGATGCACTGTTGTAAAGCATGTAATGAAACCAATGCATGTCCTACTAAGTACACTGCATTTTGTTTTATCTTCAAATTTTCAGTTAGCATTAGTGATTAGTGTATGTATCATGCACTAGTACTGAACAACTCCCTCCTATTTATTAACAGTTTTGTCCCAGAGTGAAAGCTGTCTCATGTTCAATTCATATGCTACCACCTGACTATTCAGATGGATTTCAACTATAACTGATAAATTTATTCTATAACTGAGCAATACCCCCCACCATACTGTAGTCACTTCTAAAAGTGACTAGTCTTACTCCTCTAAGTGTCACAGCTACCATACTCATTCTTTCTAAATGCATTTGTCTATGTATTTTGTGGCTTTTATACATAGCATAAGAGTGGATTCTGACACAGGAGAAGAGTTATTCTCACCTTTGATCAGTAATGTTATGTCTCTTCAAGTACATACCCACTTCATATTACCACACCATAAAATACCGTTCTTAAAGCAACATACTTTTCCTGAACTTTTCTTGCTCTTAAATTTATTACTTTACTTTTGTGTACTAAAGTTATTACTCTATTTCTTCATTTCTGATGCTCTTACATCAGAAATAACCCTTTAGTAATAGATTCATGTACTAATTTGAGCATATGAGTTTTCAGTCCCTTTCTCAACACACTGCCTCCTGGTTCTGTGCTGACCATGTGTCTCACAGGTGGTGATATATAGGTGACTATATAAACTGAAATTATTAGTATAATTAGTATAATTTTGCTAATAATTTTGCTAAAAATACACCATTTTGCTCTTTTCTGTTTTCACTTGTTGAGCAGGTTTTCCTTCTGTCAGTACCCATTCGTTATTTCTATAGCTGCAAAAAAAATCATTATTCAGAGAGACTCAGAACAACAGATGATAAGCATCGCAAGGGTAAGCCAGCTATAAAAATATTTATGCTGACTATAATCAGTATACTAAATAATTTAGTAAATAAGTCAAATATCTTGTGAATTGTTCTAGCATAATCAGAAAGTATTAAAAGTAAAATTCATATTATAGTTCCCCCAGAAAGTGCTTAAACCTGTTCACAATATGGAGGACAAGACACTCCTCATCTAATCAGCTTCTTTGTAGCAGAAGATTAAATGTTTCTCACAGATCCAAATTACTAAGAACTTGTCGACCTCATTGCATGCAAAGCTCCCACTCCAGGTAACCAACAGCTCACCAGTGAAAACTACTGTGATACAAGGAGGGTTCTAAAGGCAAATCACTCAAACCATTACAACATCTTTTAGGTTTTATGAAATTCAGACACAACCAAGAAATCAGATGATATAACAAAAAGTGTGTATCTTGGAGAACTGAGAAATATACCAAAGAAGGTGAAAAATGTTTTTGCTTTTTTAATTGGTTCCTAGGAAACCAAAATACATGGAGATCCATAGAAACTAGGTTAGCATAAGGCTGACTTTAGGCAAATTGTAGATCAGGATGAAGTTTATCTCTGGGCCTTTCCTTACTACTTCCTACCACTTGTGTTCAGCACAGCACAATAAAGTTATGTACTTTATCTAATAGATTCAATGAGCTTTTTAATTAGAGCTCTAGACTGTACATTTAAGTACTTGTGTATTTCCAGCTTCTACTTATGTAAAATGTTTGGTCACAACTTTAAGAATTAAAGGGAAGTTTGTCTATAGTCTTCCTAAAAAAGAGAAATGTAGAGTAAAAAGAAATGATTTCCATGTCTTGTCTAAAAATAAAGCATAAATTGTAACATTTTAAAATACTATAAAAATAAGAATTGTTTATTATTCAGTAATCCAGTTCCCAGAAGGTGAGTATTTTTTTCTATCACAGAGAAGGACAAAAGGTTTCAGTGACTGGTGACATCCCAAAGTCAGCTTACACTGAGTGTGAGACTATTAGAAGAAATTTTATTGCCTGTGGCTCCCAAGGGAATTCCAAAGCCACACTACCCCCCTGGAGAATGAGTTTAAACAGGTATATTTAGCACCAGAATTGTTACTTAATCTTGGGTAGATATTGGCTCAACGATTAACCTATGTAGTTAGTTGTTTTGGTATGTCCTCTTAGTTGCACTTGTATAATGTCATGTGCCTTTTTTAAGTTATTTTTAACTTTGGGCTATGATATGTTATATTTGAAGGAAAATATAAAGAGGTAGAAGTTTATCCAAATTTCTCTAGCAGATTTTTGTAATTCACAATTAAGACATTAAATGTTGTCTTATGGAATTTTTCTTCTACTTAAAAGAGTGGCAGGTATAGACTGTCACTAGCTACATCACAAAGCAAGAGAGGAAATGAGTAGAGATTAAAGAATCAAGTGACATTGTTAGTTCTTAGAAATGTTTCCCAACATTTTAACTTATAAATTGCCTTCCTACTTGGAATTAATGACTGGTGACTATTTTAAACAAGAACAACCTTACAGGTAGTTAGTATAAATAAGAGCTTATATACTACAATCTAAAGTTGCAGAAGAGGTATCCCTAAAAATGACTTCCTCTGTCAAACTGTGTAGAATTGTACCATTGTTATGTTATTTCTTTCATTTGGAGCATTTTGTGGTAAGTGTGTGTCCCTGATGGGAAGACTAGCCACTAAGCTTTGCTGCCATTAGCACCTGAATGTAAACTCACTTAGTGGATAGCTGCATTGTGACGCTCTCCAGGAGCTAGACTAGGAGCAGAAGGCCGGAAATGGTATGAAATACATTCATGACCGAGGATGCTATCCCAAATGTCTTTGGTAAGGGAGAACTCAGAGAAGCAAAAAGCTACTAAAACCCTTTAGCATTGGATATTGGAGCAATGGATATGGCTCCAAAATTAGAGTTTTGTTATAGTAATCTACAAATCTGTATAGATTTGAGATATTAAATTTATCTATTAAAGTAAATTACTGAATGTATTTCAAATGTCTAAAATGTTCATCTTTAATCTGCACAAAAATTCATTGTCATTGTTACCGAAGATTACCATATAAATATGTAAGCACGCAGATTTTATATAATAAATGACATTTCTTACGTTTTAATATTTTTATGTACTCAGTGCTTACATTTTGATGAACCATGAAAAGTTGATTTTTTAAATTACCCAAGCATAACTATTGTTAACATTGTTAGTAAATTTTCTTTTAAAAAAGTCACTAGAGTTGAAGCAGTATTGTACACATAGTTTTGTTCCCTACTTTCTTCAGATACACCTTTGTTGTACTATTTACATAGTTTTCATGACCACAATTTAAATAGTTCCATTAGATTCAGTTAACTGAGTATGTCCTTAGGATATTTCTAAAGTTTTGTTTTTATGAATAGTACTGAAATAAACATCTAGTGGTATAAAATATTTTCTGGAATTCCCAGAACTGGAAGTATTAGGACAAAATGTGTGAACAGTGTTAAGGTCTATGACAAATGTTGACAAATTACTTTCTAAAAGTATCAATGAATTGTGCGTTTCTAATTATCTAAAATAGCTGAAGTCCAGGTTTATCATCAAATGATTTAAATATTCCCATTTTATGTCTGTATTTATTAAATAGGAATCTTTGCTATTTAGGAGATAAGACATAGAAACTGTAATACAACATTCTTAATATAGAGGTTGGATTATTTTTCATCCTCCATTTTGAACCCCTTTTGGTTATCATTTTTCCCAAAGTGAAGTAATAAGTTATTTTCACAAATTAGGATGTATATAATTGATTTTATGAAACTGTATGAGAGGTGGCATTGACAAGAATTAAGTAATTTTGACTAATGTGTTTAAATGTTTAAATAGAACTGTAGTTTAAGTAAAAATGAAAATGTTTGCTTTCTTATTTAATTAGCAAAGTCTGGTGGATAAAGTATCTCGAAGACAGAGACCTGATATGAATATGTTATTTCTAAATATGAAAGTAAGGCGGACACATCTGGTTAGCGATTCACTTGATGAGGTATAATTTATTCCAAAATGGTATTAATTGATTAAAGCTTTAAATAAATCCATAAATGTGACTTATTACTAAAATCTTGCTAAGCTGTATTTTATTTCTATGCCAATTAATTGTGCTTCCTTAAATTTTGATACCATTGTTAATGTCAGTTTTATATAATTAAGCCTTATCTTCATTTTTTGTTTAGTAATGGTTTGTTGTTAATTCCCCAGAAAAGAATTTGATATAGAACCCTTAAATGAGTAATTCATGTTTATTAGTATGTTCTCTGGATTCTAGACTCACCCATCTCTGTTACTGGTTAGGTGTATAATAAGTCATTTTAACTTTTCCAAGCCTTAGATCACTCATCTATAAAACTACAGGTCTGACCTACAGGTTATATTGCATCTATTCAGGTTCACACAAATGTTGATTGCATGTATATGTATTATAAAGTTTCCTGCTTGAACAGTACATAAGCCAGACCTTCATGTAGCTATGAGAAAACAATAGCTGATTTAAATTGGGGGGGAGTGGTACTGAGATTTTGAATTCAGGGCCTTGTGCTTACTAGGCAGGCACTTGACCACTTGAACCACACCCCCAGCCCTTTTTTACTACCTTAGTTATTTTTTAGGTAGGATCTCGAATTTTTGCCTGGGACCAGCTTCAGACCATGATCCTCCTTGCTTATGGCCTCCCTCTTAGCTGGGATCACAGGCATGTGCCATCATTCCCACGTTTTTGCCCAGGCTGGCCTTAAGTGGTGATCCTTCCAATTTCTACCTCCCATGTTGCTGTGATTACAGGCATAAGCTACTGCCCTTGGCCTGTCTATGTGATATTTAAAAAAAAAAAAGTTTAGTGCTGGAGGAGTGTTAAAAGTAAATGTGTTATTTTATATTATCATCTGCTAAATTAAAATTTTGGAGGCAGTAACCTTAGGCAAGGCTCCTGACCTAATTCTTTTTCCCCTTTTATAAAGCAAACATAATAACACCTAGCTCACTGGCAAATTTGTTATGGATGGATGGATGATGGGTGGATTGAATGGGGTTTTGTGATACTGTAAATAAGATAATGACAGTTCCCAGATTTAAAAAGTGAATTCTGTTTTCACTGCCCTTTGTTCTCTTCTCTATAATTTCTCAAACTAGTTAACCCGGAAAAGAGCAGACTTGAAAAAGAAGTTGAAAGTTACATTTGTAGGGGAAGCTGGTTTGGATATGGGTGGCTTGACTAAAGAATGGTTCCTTCTTCTCATTCGCCAGATTTTTCATCCAGATTATGGTGAGTATTTAATTTTTATGAACAGTATTTCCTTACAATTGTTAAAGTAGTAATCCTTATTTAATCTAATCTAATTTTATAGGCTTTGTCAGCCATGAATGTCAAATAATTATTTAAGGACTATTACTTACATTTTTAAAATTTTTTGATCAAGTTAATGATTGAAATGTTATTTACTGATAATCCCACACAAGATATATCAAGGCTGAAAGTATGCATTTATAAGGAAACATCCATATCTTTCCCAAATAGGCCAAATGCATGAAAATTTGTTTTTAAATAGCATTCAAAATTTAAAAATTAAACTACAGTTTGCTTGACACCACTAGTATTTGAAGCCTCTTTTTAAGCAGTGTCATCTTAACAGGAATTCATGAATTAATTTCTTAAGGAAAAAATAGGCTTCTGAAATTTAAATTTCATTTTATTTAGAGAAATTGCCTATATAATTGTTAATGTCTGTTAAATGCCTTTCTTCAAAGAAGGGTTTTTAGTGGTTTCTTATTTGTTCCTACATTTTATGTATTATTTATAATATACATACAGATATATGTAAATAAAATCTTTTGGTAATGGGAAATAGGGATGACATGGATAAATTGAAATCTCCAGATAACTTCAAAATTACTTTTTTTTTTTCGCAGTATTGGGGTTTTAACTCAGGGTCTCACACTTGCTAGGCAGGCGCTTTGTCACTTGAGCCACTACACCAGCCCTCAAAATTACTTTTGATAGGGCCAGATGTCTGGCTCAAGTGCCTGCCTAGCAAGCATGGGGCCCTTAGTTCAAATCCTAGTACTGCCAAAGAAAAATACTTTTGAACAAAAACTATAGTTTTTATGGAGTTGTTTGTCTTTTTACCACTCTTCTATCCTCAATTCAAAGAACAATAAAATTCTCTCTGTCTCAGTCTCTCCCCAACCCCCCAACTCTCTGATCTCTCTCTCTCTCTCTCTCTCTCTCTCTCTCGATCACTCTCTCTGAAAATTTCAGTGTGTGTGTGTGTGTGTGAAAATTTCAGTTTGTCTGTATGATCTGTTAAAGAATCTGTAAATTTTAAACATGGAAGATGATGCATTAACTGAACTATTGCTAAAATGATTTGTTTCTAATAACATGAGATGTCGTGTACATTTTTACTACTTTCATTTTTTTAATCATATGAACAAAATTATTTTCTTTTTTCAGGCATGTTTACATATCACAAGGATTCACACTGCCATTGGTTTAGCAGCTTTAAATGTGATAACTATTCTGAATTTCGATTGGTTGGAATTGTATCCTTTAAACTTTCCACTAGGAGGTGCTACTAGACTAGACTAGAGATTTTTTAAGTATTTTTTTTCTATATTTTAGAAGAGTGTTCGTTTAGAAATATAAACATTCTTGTCAAATTTATTAATAGATTTTCTGTAATCTTTATTATATGTAATATCACAGCTATATAACATCAGTAGATTTAATTAAAAGGAGTGGTTGGATTTTTATTTTTCTGAAATTTTTATCATAAAAGATTATTTCCTATTTCACGTATAATCTAAATTATCAGATTTTTAAAACTTTTTTAAAAAACCAGTATTTTCCACTTGTAATACAGTGTTTTTCTGTTCTTTCATTTTGTGTTTATTTCACTTTGTTTACTAAATTGGAATTGTGGAAATTAAATCTAGTTCTCTAACATACCCCCAAATCATGAGACATGAAGGAGGCATCCTTAAAAATTGAAAAGTGAACGGTGGGATGTTTGAAGCATACACCATTATTTTCTAGTGTGTGTTTTTATTTTTTATTTTATAAATCTATTTGTCGTCCTCTGATCTCTATCAGATATATTGTGGAAGGCATTCCTGCACTGGGTGAGAAAGTAGATAAGATGCCTTTTACATTAACTTTTTAAATTCCAAGAAATATAATTGTAGCAGAAAGGAGGAAAGAGTAAATAAATGAGTAAGCACCAGAGATGTAGAAATTAAAAGAGAGGAAGAAATTCCACCTTTAAGAAGCTTACCATCTAAATGAATAGATGAGATCAGTAGTCTGTTCTCAAGAGTCAGATGACTCTCTCTGTCTCAGAACTAAAGAAGGAAAAGATGAAGTATATTCCCCCAAGAGGAGATAGAAATTTTAAAATGGAACAATTACATTTGGTTAAGATGAGACTGGAAAGAGTAGAACAGCTGAGCTAAGAGCATGGTGAGGAAAAAGGTCTGAGTTGTAATGGACTTAGTAAGCACACTGGCAGTTACAGAAGATACCACCAGAGAAAGAACTAAGAGCTCTCTTACATACTCTTTGAATGTCTGTCTTTGTTGTATTTGTTGAACTAAATCCTGAGGAATGCTTATAGAAATTGAAAGAGAAGGTAGCAAGGGAAAAAAACTACACATTGAAACAGTAAACTTCTTTTGAAATTTTCCTTATATTGTTCTGTCTGATGGTCTAAAGTATTAAATTCCACAGTACAGAAGAATGCTTAATAATTCTTGGACTCCTATTTTTTTATTTATTTATTTTGTTGGTGGTGGTAGCACTGGAATTTGAGCTCGGGACCTCTTGCTTGCTAGGCAGGTGCTGTAGCACTTGAGCCACTCTGCCAGCCTTGGAATCCTATTTTTATTCTATCATCTACAGTATTGAATGTGTTTCAGCTTCATTGAAGGCCCAGTCATTGGGGCTTCTCACTACACTATGACCTATTTAAATTTCCTAATATCTGTGATCATGCTTTACATTCTTATATCACAACTTAAAGAGTTGGGTGATATTTTGACTTTGTAATATTTGTAAAAAAAAAAAAAAAGTATTATATCTTAGCTATTATACTTTTGAATTGATGTCATACATAAAATCATGACTTTACCAATTATTTTTGCAATAGATACTAGTTTTATTCAGTCATTACCTAAAAGAGCACACTAACCATGTTTACATGTATATTCCAAGCTAAACAATTAAATTTAACGTTAAATTATGCTCTCACATTATGTGTTCACCACATACATACATACACACAAACCTATAGAAAGCAAAAGTGATACCCTAAAAAGCATGATACTGTATAGGAAAAACGTGAGATGATAGTGAATTAGGGTCATGTCAATAGGAAGAAAACTGAAAATTTGGAAGTAACAGGCAAGACCAGTGAGATAATATTGTTGGTTCTTGTATAGCTAATATTTATATATTTTGGGACCAAAAATTTGGTTTATTAGTTCTGATAATGTGTTTCTGTTGTTTTTAAATATGGTAAGACCTTGGAGTTTACAAGAAATGTTATAATAAAACATGCAATAATAATTGTAAAATGTTTTGAAGATTAAATGAAGAGCTATAATCTAACAATTTAAAAGGGAGCGTTGGAATTAAGAGTAGTGTTTTTAATGTAGGACAGTGCAAGGGTTTCCAAACTCTACTCTTTGTACTACATGACACCTCAGTGGCTCTAGCAGAAAAATTACCCCATCCCCATATCTGCTTCAACCAGAGGAGGTAGATTTAGTGCAAAATGAAATGTTACACTTCTGCCTGGGAGAGTATCCTGTAGCAAATCCTACCCTACTTTCTCACTGTGAAAAACCTGCCTTCAAGCTTATAATTGTTTTTAACTTAATGAAAAATTCTTAGAAGTCATCACCATAGTAGTGGATCATAAATTATAACTACAGAGATTATTATCATTTTTGCTATTATAAGAATATAAGTATATTAGAACATACTTTCAATGTCTGTACCTTTGAACACATTGGTCAGTCTATGGTTACTCATAAAATGGCATAGCTATTCTTTATTATCAACTTTCATTCTGCCTTAGCAAATTGAAATATTGGCAATCTTCCAGTGTTTTAGAATTGTTTTCAACCATTAACTCAGTTCATATGTTTAGATTCCTTTTGAGTCTATATAATGTATTACTTTTTAAATAACTTTATATAATAATTGACAATTCAATATTATGAAATTTTTAGCTAAAACCCCTCTTTCAGGAAATGGATGTTACAATCTGCCATATAATTAAAAATAAAGCATACAAAGTTTATAAACATAAAATCTGTAGCTTTTTAACTTTGACACTTTGAGTAAACTCCAAGCAACTAAAGCCTTTTTAAGTTTTAATGTAGGAGACTACTTACCCTATTAGTTTATCAATAGCATATATATATATCCATGAGCTTTTTCATTTCAGCTCTTTTAACACAATCTGTATTTAATTTTAAAATAGTTAAAATGAGTATTTCTAAAATCAATAGTGCATTCTGCAGTGAGCTCTGTATAAACTCTTGCTGCTGCTTATAAAACTATCAACATTCATGTCTAAATTTAGAAAAAAATTTATATGTTAAGGAGGTGTTTTGGTTTTTTGGTGATACTGGGGTTTGAACTCAGGGCCTCACGCTTGCTAGACAGGCATTCTACCACTTGAGACACTCCACCAGCTGTATGTTAAATAATTTGTAGAAATGTCTGAGATTCCTATCTATTGTGATCTTAGATAAGCTTTGCTAGGGAAATCAATTAAACACCTTTTTACATGACTTGGTAATCAAGGAATTATATTTCATACAATAAAAGGAAATTAAGTCAGAAGAAAGGAAATGTGTGGACTAATTAGAAGGTTAGTGTTAAATCTGAAAGAAGTAGACTGCATAATTCAAAACTTATTTTCGTCATGAATTTTATGTTAATGCTTAACATTTAGAATGCATAGCTCATGGGACTAGCTGTTTATAACAGTATCACCTTGGATATTCGTTTCCCTCCCTGCTGTTACAAGAAATTATTGAGCCCTCCTATCATTCCAAGTGATCAAAATACACCAGTAGGCATCTGCAGTGTTACCATTGATGACTTATGTCAAATTATGCCTGTAAGTATAAGTTATTAACATCTTGTCCCTCAATGTTAAGTCATCTCTCTTCTACCTGCATAGTCCGTCTCCTCCTAATGCTATTCTTATTTTAAAGTATGGTTTCTCTCGACCTTTGGAACTCCTCCTTTTTCATCTGAATTTCCCCTTTCTAATAAAATCAATAAGTTAATTGAGATGATAAAATTCCAGTTACCAAAGTAGAAATGGTAAGTTAGACCTTCTTTACAGTAACACACTTTGCTGCGTGCTTGAAACAAACTTTGAAGTCTTGAGAGACAGTGATGTGAGTCCAGGCTCTGCCACTTACTAACTTTGTGAACTTGGATGAATTATTTAATCTTTCTTAGCTCTAGTTTCCATATGTGAACAATGGGAAAGTTTTTATTAATGATTAAAAGAAATGATGACAATCATCAAATCTTTTCCAGCTTAGAAATGTATGAAAACTTACAGTTTTAAAGGAATGGAAAATTAATTATGCAAAGTATATAAGATAATTCTAACCCACACTGTTTTTTATCTTATTTTAATAATTTAAATACTGGGTCAGTTCTATTTTTAAGTCTTTATTCATAGACAAGTTGAGTTATAACAAAATATATAAAAAGTTTTCTTACAGTGTTCTCAACTTTTTCTTAGAAGGACATGGTAACTAAAATGTACAAACTATTTAACATGTGTGAACTGTATGTTTTATGTTTAAAAGATGAATCTTAAAACAGCATTGTTTTGTAAGACTATTCATAAACAGTAATGTAGTAGCTAGCTGTGAATTATCCTGGAAATCACAGCAGAGGCACACTTAACCTGCTGCTTAAGAATAGATCCTCGAGTTACACAACTCTGTGATTTGAACAGAATAATTTCCTTCTATATGGCCAGTAATGAATTTTTTGAACCTTTGAATAGTAGAAATTGTAAAACATTTTGTGTCCTGAAAATATATCTCAAATATTTATTTTGAAATCTGAAAGAGTTTACTGTCTCACATGTAAATGAACACGTCAGTGTACTTAACTATTTGAAGTCATGCTAATTGATTTAAAAAGACAGACAACAGATTTCTTTTTATAGGAATTAGCTCATGGATTAAGTGAACTCTTATCATATGAAGGCAATGTTGAAGAAGATTTCTACTCAACATTCCAGGTACTAATAAGGGCACATAGCTGTCACCTTTATCCCGCAAATATGAAAAATGCCATTTGCTACTCAACGTTTGGTATTAGAAAAGATGAACAAGGGTTAATTAACACATAACAGTATACTTCTTAAAGGATATTAACCTGAAAAGTAGAGACAGTGAAGCAGACACATGTAGATGAGCAGTCGATGAAAGAGCTTAAAGAAAATTCACCAAAGGCAAGGTACTGCACTGGGAAATTACATATTCCCTTGACTCAGTGACTTTCTCTGAGCTTTTCCGCTTCAAAACTAAACCTCTCCTATAACTTCAACACAAGAAGTTAAAAGTAGCAGTAATGGGTCAGACCAAAACACTCTCACTCCCACTGCTCTTAGAATAGTCAGGAGACAGAAATTATAGTGAACCACACAGTTCACAGCCCTGAGTGTTGGCTAGGTGGCCACCCACATTTTGTGAGCATCATTAAAGTATTTAACTGTATTTAACAGATAGGGTTAAGGCCCTATTTTTTTTTATCCCAAAATGATATCTCTTAATATAAATGTCACAGTAGGTTCCCATTTCCATTGTTGTGTATTTGAAGGGAGGGAAAAAACTACTTTTTAAAATTTAGAAACCTGTTCATTGAAGCCTTTTACTACATCAATAATGCCAGTGAAAATACTGTTATGTTATTTCCTATCAGGTTTTTCAAGAAGAATTTGGAATAATAAAGACATATAATTTAAAGCCAGGAGGTGATAAAATTCCAGTCACCAATCAAAATAGAAAAGGTATATTAGATGCCATTTTTAATTCAAATGAATTAGTATTTACAGTTACTTTTACTATATATAACAGATGTAAAATTGCTTTCCAGAATATGTACAGCTTTATACTGACTTCCTTCTCAACAAATCCATCTATAAGCAGTTTGCTGCATTTTATTATGGATTTCATAGTGTATGTGCTTCAAATGCCCTAATGGTGAGTTTAAAACTCTAAATTAAGCTTTTGGTTAGGTTTTGTAATGGTAAAACATTGGCAAATAATTCCTTAAGTAATATAATATTTCAAAACTAGAAAGTTTTCTTTTAAAAATAGACTTAGAAATTAAAATAGCTCTCCCACTTCAGCCTTACTTCTCTAGATTTATTTAAAACAATAGGCACTTCATTTTTTTCTCCCTTTTTGCTGTGTTTTAAATTATGTGTATAGGGCTTTAAAAACTTTCCCCAACTAGACTGAATAAAGCAACCCAAGGGACAAAGCGCAGAAACAGAGTTAACACATAGATAGCTCTAAGACAAAAGCCACAGCCTCTCACCAATTAAGAAGTATTTTGTGTAATTGCTTCGTGCTTTCTCAAAGGTCTCTCAGCAACTCTGAATTTTCTCTTACCCATAGGAGATAATTTAGCTCTAGACACATGGTGGACTCTTAGGCTATCTTGACCTGCCTTAGCCATGTGAATTTGGGTTAGAATGCCTTGTTGGAAATATACAGTATCCTTCACCCCACTACCCAAGGTACACACCATCATGCCTGTTTCTCCTTCAGTTTTATTGTGAAGGATTGGAGGAAAGTCTTTCGTTTGAATTTTTTTTTTTTCTTCGTGGTACTGGGTTTGAACTCAAGACTTCATGCTTGCTAGGTAGGGCACTCTACCACTGAGCCGCCCCACCAGCCCTTTTTTGTGGGTGGATATTTTCAAGTTAGGGTCTTGTAAACTGTTTGCCTGGGGCTGGCATTGAACCATGATCCTCCTAATCTCTGTCTTCCAAATAGCTAAATTATAGGTGTGAGCCATTGGCATCCAGGTTCAATTATTTTTCATAGAGGAGAGAAATGAAACTATGGAGGTTGTTACTTCAGGGCAGAAGGAGGTAGTTTACCTTCTCTCTTGTTTGTTGTAGAGTAACCTTTGCAACATGTTTATTTTTGAAAGCACCTCTGAAAAAGAAGTATTTTATTGAGCTCTAATTGTTTTAATTATAATTTACTGATAGTTAGGGGGATGAACAGAGGGAAAATCAGAAATAAATGGCATAGCATGATCTCTGTTATTGCAGTGCACATAGAAGGTCTCATATATGGGATATTGGTAGGAGCCAAGCAGATGAGTGAATGCTAGAGTTTCATGCTGCTTTTGGAGAAGAGTAGTTTTGATTTATGCTAAGTCATTTACTTTTTTTTTTTTGACAAACTTCTAGTTACTGTTTCATATGTTAGAAACCTTAGAAGCAAAATACCATGCTACAGCAGGAAAAATATATAAGTGGAAAACAATTTTCTTCAAAAAACTGTTTGGATTTACTAATAAGAAAAGTCATGATTTTGTGATTTGATTTCCTGAATAGAGTTTACATTCCATTTAAAAACATCATATTTGTCTGGGTGCAGGTGGCTTATGCCTACAATCCTATCTACTTGGGAGGCTGAGATCAGGAGGATCATTATTTGAGGCCAGACCCAGCAAATAGTTTGCAAGACCCTATCTCAAAAATACCCTACACAAAAGAAGGGCTGGTGGAATTGCTCAAGTGATAGAACGCCTGCCTAGCAAACAGGAGATCTTGAGTTCAAGTCCCAGTGCTGCAAAAAATCATTTTGGGGTGGGCATAATGGTGCATGCTTAAACCCCAGCTACCTGGGAGGCACATGTAGGAGGGTTGAGATCCAAAGCCCATCCCAGTAAAAGTCAGAGATCTACCTGAAAAACTAGCTAAAACAAAGAGGGCTAGGGGCATGGCTTAAGTGATAGAGTACTTGCTAGACATGAGGCCCGGAATTCAAAACCCCAGTGCCACCAAAATAAATAAATAAATAAAACACCTTTTAAATTATTTTTGACAAACAATTATTAACAGCTGCTTCGTCCAGAAGAGGTTGAAATTCTGGTCTGTGGAAGTCCTGAACTAGACATGCATGCTCTGCAGAGAAGCACTCATTATGACGGCTATGCGAAAACAGACCTAACTATAAGGTGAGTTCTTATACTTCCGGTGGGGTTGTAGAAGAATGAGCAGAACAATGTGGTTTGCTTATTTGTATAACTTACAATTTTTTAATCAATTAACAAATATTATAGAGTCCCACACTGTCTTACTTCTTCTCTAGAAATATGAGAACATTAAATATGAAGTAACTTAGCAATCTCCTTGGAAGAAAACTATATAAATAACTTTCTACAAAAGTATAGTTTTTGCTTTAAAAAATTAACTTTGGTCCTAGAATTTCAGGGATGCTATACTTATAAATATCATTTTTAATGTCACTGTTGAAAAGTAAGACTTACAAATTATATCTAAGACAAAATGGGTTCTATAAAGCCTAACTGATGTGTAGAAACTCATCCTTTAATTTTACATTAAGGATGTGTGTGTGTGTGTGTGTGTGTGTGTGTGTGTGTGTGTGTGTGTGTATTTTCTTGTGACGGGGCGGTACTGAGGTTTGAACTCAGGGCCTCACACTTGCGAGGCAAGTGCTTTACCAGTTGAGCCATGCCCCTAGTCCATGGATGTTATATATGCTTTATACTATTTCATTATGATTTACATGGCTTTTGTCAGGATATTTTATGTAAATTTTCTTCTATAGGTACTTTTGGGATGTTGTGCTTGGATTTCCTCTTGATCTTCAAAAGAAGTTGCTACATTTTACTACAGGAAGTGACAGAGTACCTGTAGGAGGAATGGCTGATTTGAACTTTAAAATCTCAAAGAATGAAACTTCTACTAATTGGTAAATTTCTAGATTATAATTTTTATTTTTAATCTATACTTGATTGCTAATTTGGAATTAGAAGATTCATGTGTCTGAAGTCATTCTCATATAAAAATCTTTAGAGTAAATGTGGCATTGAAATGAAAAAGACTTTGGCTGAAAGGTCTTTTTTGACATATACCAGTACTAACTGATAATAATTCACTTCCATCAACTTTTTACTTTGCTAGGTTAAATCATTGCTTTGCAGTCTATTTTAGAACCCAGGCTCCTTTGTCATAGTACTATCTAACCTTCATTTTTATGTAAATATATTTTTTATTTTTAGAAAAAAATACTAAATTGAGGTTTCTTGTTTGGGGTGTGTGGGGGGGAGTTGGTTGACTCTTACACTTTGTACCAGAAGTACTAGTACTAGTCTTCTTTTTTCTTTTTTAAGTTTCATACTCTTCACATATGAAATGATAGTAATGATAGCTTTAAATTTGTTTCTAGTAGTGTTAATAGATTAATTAAATGCTGATCTTCTTACTCCTTTTCCCAAACACCTTGTAATTTCTGAAACTAATTTCAGTAGGCACAACTTTGATTATAACCATTTTTTTCTCCTGCCCCATACATTGAACATTTCTGAGTATTTTCATTTTAGAAATTCAGTCTGTCCTTTACTTTCCTAACTGCCACCACCTTGACATAGTTACTTTTTTACCTCATTCCTAGCTTATTCAAATGCTTTCCTGGTCTACCTGCTCAGGTTCTTCGCTTTCTAATTATGTTACCCTATTAAATTCATTTTCCTTAACACTGATTTGAGCATGATATTTTCTTGGCTAATAATAGGTTTATTGCTCCCTTTGCTCTAAGTTGTAGAATCCAGAACCTATCAGATAAGCTCTACAGGCTTTCCTCCAAGCTGTGTATCAGAGTTTTCATTTCTTTCCATGCTTCAATCAGTAGGCTCTTTGGCTGAGTCCTTAAACACATTTCATGCCTCCCTTCCTCCATACTTTAAGTTGTTCCCTTTATATGTGGTATGTGCTTGTCACCTCTCCTGAAACCCAGTTTTTTGTTTTTTTAAAATATGGAACACTTCACAAATTTGCATGCCATCCTTGTGCAGGGGCCATGCTAATCTTCCCTGTACCACTCCAGTTTTAGTGTATGTGCTACTGAAGCGAGCGCTGAAGACCCAGGTTAATGTGCCTTACTGTGTGAAGCCAAAAGTCATTATTCTTTAGAGAGAAGTGATGTGCTGAATCACACTTTGTCTTAAGTCATTTAGCTCTTCAAGGCAGAGGCCACGCCTTCTATCTTTGTATTTCCCATGTAGGCACACACTTAGTAAGTTTCTTGAATAAATATTTAAGCCAATATCAGGACTATACTTAAGCCAGGTGCCTGTGGCTCACTCCTGTAATCCCAGCCACTTGGGAGGCAGAGATCAGGAATGCGGTTCAAAGCCAGCCTGGGCAAATAGCTCACAAGATCCTATTTCAAAAATACTTGAACACATACACACACACAAAAATAAAAGGGCTGGCAGAGTGGCTCAAGTGGTAGAGCACCTACCTTATAGTCATGAGTTTCAAATGCCAGTGCTGCCCAAAAAAAAAAAACTTAAAAAGCAAAAAATTTACATATATGTATAAAATTAAGAAATTTTGGAGTAATATTTACAAGGACCTAAAATGAGAAAACTTTAAGCCTTTTACATACTTATTTGCTCAATAAAAATTAATTTTTCAGAATATTTCATATTAACAAAATAGTTTAAAAAGGTAATCTAAGTAATATATTTTAATAAAGGTGCCATTACACGTAAACCTTTCCAATTATTTCAGTGATTATTTTATAAACTAACATGGCTTACTCATGAATCTAAGGGATAGCACTAGAACTCCCAACGGGAACCAAACATAGGTTAAATTTAGCTGGCCATCAAAGACACATGACATTTCAGTTTGACCCAGTAAACAGTGTCCCTCAAAAGTCAAGGACAAAAATCCAACTGAACAGGGAGTTTCCATTTCTTCTATAAGGCCCATCTTTGAAAATCTATTAGATTTTTGCTAAACAAAAATGTTAAGTTTTTGGTGGGTACAGTGTCTCGTAGCTGTAATCAGAGCTATTTGAGAAGTAGAGTTTGGAACAATCAAGAGTTCAAAGCCAACCCATGCAACAAATTAGTGAGATCCTACTTCAGCCAGTAAAGCTAAGCATAGTGATGCACACCTGTCACAGGAAGTGTAAATAGGAGGATGGAAAGCTGCGGCCCAGGGAATAAATACAAAACCCTATTTGAAAAATAACTAAAGAAGCAAAAATGGCTGGGGGAGCATGGCTTCAAATGGTAGAGTTCTTGCTTAGCAAGTGCAATGACCTGAGCTCAACCCCAGTACTGCCAAAAAAGTGAAAAACAAAAAAGTTTAATCTTTGTATATTAGATATGTATATTCCCATGTTCAATTTTTCTTCATCAATAAAATGAGCATAAGAACCACTCTTCAGGTTGTTTTGAGGCCTAAATTAAATGAAACAATTGCATGCCAGAACATTCAGCACAGTGCTTATCAGAGACCAAGCTCTCAGTAGATGCTGTTCCTAATAACTCTAGTCCTTTGGTATAGAGAACTTTTGCAGTTTAGAGTCAAATCATAGGAAGTCATTTAAAATGTTCTCCTTTTCTCTGGTGTATTCCCCATTTTTATTTATTGACTTCTCTGACAGCTATTCCAATGCTGTGGACTTAATTTAAAAAAAAATGAAGGCAAGGGTCTAAGATGCCTATAGAAATCCTGAGTGAAAATCGCAAAGTCATCAGGTTGAGAGTTAGGGGAACTGATCAAAAAGTCAGAGGATTAGTGTCACCTGTGCACTGAGGCTAACAGCATTAAAAGTGTTCTTTTTATAACTTTTGACGGTCAAGACCAGAATATCATGACATGCTGTCTTCTACTTTGCTTAGGTATTTTGTGCAGATAGCTCTTTTAAACAACCTAATTGAATAGTTTATGCTGTCATGTTGACTAAGAAACTGAAATCTGGAGACATTAAGCAACTCAAAATCCCATAGCTATAAGAGAAGCAGCATTCAAATTCAGATCTCTCCTACTCCAGACAAATGCTTTTGAAATAAAAATTTCATGAGAGCAGGGTTATTGATTGTCTTGTTTGTAAACATAGTCTTAGTGTCTAGAATGGCACCTGATACATAGTTAGGGACTCAAATATTTGTTCAGTAAAGGATGTGCCATCTCTTAGCATAATGAAATGGAATTGAATGTATCTGGTGTTTTCAAAAGTTCCTTAGTCATTTTGTACATTTTAAGAGTTACTATCCCTTAAAAACTTATTTTTCCCCTCTAGGTTACCTGTGGCTCACACCTGCTTTAATCAGCTTTGCCTTCCTCCCTACAAGAGCAAAAAAGACCTGAAGCAGAAGTTGATCATTGGAATCTCCAATTCAGAAGGCTTTGGACTTGAGTAACCTAGAAGACTTGAAATATATTTTATATGTAGCATTCACTTCCCTCTTATTGTGCCTTTAACCTTTTCATGTTTCTGTCTCAAAACATTTTCACAAAGCTCACCAACTTTAAAATACTGAGATTTTTTTTTAATTGAATATGAAGTATGTTTAGTGAAGGCATGATTTTTCTAAAAACCCAAATTTTTTGAGTGAGGAAAAGACCACAATGCAGAAACAAATGTGGGTCCAGTTACTCTTTTTTTATAGCACTTTATTATTTCCATAAGTAGTGTCACAGGTGTACCACTGGGAAAGCAGAGTATAGTGAGGAACACATTTATGATACAGTTGAACCCAGTGGCAGATCATGTGCTGCCAGCACACTGTAGCAAAGCAAATAGCTACACTATCTTTAACATAGGCATGTAGCCATATTTTCATATAGAGGTAACAACAGTATAATTGCAAATGCAGTTTACAGGGTCTTTTGATATACTGGTTTTGGGTTCTATAAGATTCTTTTCAGCTGTTGCTGAACAGCATGTATATAAGTACATACTAGCCTAAGAATAATGGGATTTTGATAGTGCCATTTATTGCTAAAGATTTATTTTTACAAAGTAAATTCAGGGTTTTAGATGTGTATACAGCTTTTACAAACCAATAAAGATGATTGTGCAAGAGTATTTTCAGACTAATTGGATTCAAGGTTATATTCTTTTAAGTATTGTTAATCTGCATGCACATTGGCAGTAAACCAGTTACTTGAGTACTCTGTAATATTTCTATAATGATCATATCTTGAAGATCAAGATAATAGAAAAATCAGATCTAAGTAATCATTGATGAATTAAGTCAATTACAAGCACAAAAGAAAAGAACTACTTTTATATATATTTTGATTGATGTACAAGACATATCTACATGTTTTGATCACCAATTGTACTGACACACTAGTTTTTGGAAAAGATAGGAAAGGTATTTGACAAAAGTGAATACAATAATAACATTTATGTCAAAATGGTGTGGCTTGGTGTGAAGATAAAGCTCAGCATTTTGGCTGAAATGTTTGTTTCTCACTGGATTCCAAAGGTAGTAAATTCAAAGGTACCCTTGTTTTTCATTTCTAATACAATTGCATGTTAAAAAAAAAACTGCATTTTAAGTCACAGTAAATATTTTTTTTAATTTATAGCAAATGAAGCAGTTTTATTAGCATGTCATAAACATTTCCAGATCAACTTCTCTTATTCTTTGAGTACTTTCAGAGAAAACTCTGAAGTTGTATTTGCAATAATAATGAAACCAGCATTTAATAACCAGCATATGATTCATATGCAAATAAAACTTTCCAGAAATCTTACCTAGTCAGGCCATTTCCTTGTTACTATACTTCCTGCACCCAACCAGCAGAAGTCTTCAAGGGTGAGGAACCAGTCACTTGTTTTCCTACAGTTCTGAAACCAACCCACAAGTCTTCAAGGGAAGAAAGTTAACTTCATTTACTATTCACTGAAGTGACTCTCCTTTTCCATTTGAATATACTATACAGTGTATTTCTTTTTAAAAGTCTTGGAAAGCCTAAGAGAGTTAAGGGCATATTAGTTTAGTTTAGTTTTGTTTAACTCTGCTTTTAATTCCATATGCAAATAAAACTGCTTCTCTTAACACTGCTTGAAACTAGAAAGTAAGATGTTTAATGTAGGTTACTACTAATTAATAAGCACAAAAGAATCATGTATAAGAAACCAGATTTAAGTGTTTTAAGTAAAACATAAAGTTTTTATTTGGTAGAGATGACCCATGGAAAAATAGTGTTGGCTTGGTCTGCATGTTTAATGATGTGCTGTATATCAATAGCTATGTCACTTTTAAGTAAGAAGTACACAAGCAAGCCAAATTTTAAGTGACAAAATCCATAAAAAACTGAAGAATTTTTGTTGTCTGTTATTAAGTTGAAATTTATAACCATTTGTCACTAAGTTGCACATTACCTTTATTTATTCTCTTTTTAGTTTACAGTGTAATAATACCTCATTTAAAAAAGTAAAAACCACTACTGTTACATTTTACTAATTTAAACAGCTAGAAAATCCATGTAGTTCCTTTTTTTATACACACTCTGTTAATGAATTCTTGATTTTTGTATCTGCCACAGTAAATTAAAGCATTACATAGTATTTATTGATATTTATAAATTGTCTTGTTCTTCTTCTAATCTTTAATATTTTTAAGGTGTAATTGGAAGTTGTTAACATTTCCCCTTTTTTGTACAAATCTGTATTGTATGAAGTTAATTTCTGGATAAAATTTTTCAGATATGATAATTACACAATCAGACTTCAATTCATTTTTTTCAACACTAGGCAATTAATTAAAACCATAGTTTTAAAATGGAAATGGAAACTATTCTTTGCACTACTCTGTCCCTTAAACTAGTGATTAGGAAAACTGCTAACACATAGCTTCAAAAGATGTGTGTTGACAATAAGTATAACAACCCCCGTAGCACATTTCAGGATGAAACTATGTATATCCAGTATCTGGGTGACCATGAGATTTCCCACCATGCGAATGTGTGAGACCAGTGAAGTGTGCCCAGAGTAAACTGAGTATGACCTTTTATTGGCTGCACATAGACAAGTTCAGATCTTAAGTGTTCCTCCTCAGAGCCATCCCTTTTGGCCTTTTTCTCTCTTGCCCACATATCTTAAGCTTAAGCTTAACAGAGAAAGAAGAAATTATGAGAATGTAGGAAAGAATGCTATAGGTGATCCATATGCAAATAACTTTTAGTAGTTTAATTCCTCCTAAATAACTTTTAGGAGTTATTTCTTTATTCTGGATATTAATCCTTTGTTATGTTAGGAGCTACAGTGCTTCAGTTTGAGCCCCAGATCTGCCAATGACTATGTGATCTTGGAAGAAAGACCAGGGTAGGTTTTCTTAGGGGAGGACACAAGATCAGTCTACCCGGCTGACTATACGTCCTTTACTCTGTTGCTTGGGCTTTGGCCAGACTACCTGGATTTACCATTTACTAGCTATGATTCCTTGGGAAACTTAACTTCTCCATTCCTCAATTATAAAATGGAAATAATCTGTAAGATGAAAATAATAAGCCTACCTAGAATTTGTAGGGAAGAGTAAATGAATCAATGTCTGAAGCATTCACACAATACCTGGCTTATGTTAAGCAATATAAAAGGATACAAGGCAGTGCTAATGGGGAAACACCTTAAACCACTACTTCTAAAACTGGATTTAACCCAAAATTAATGAATGTAAGGTGCTTTTGAGGCATTAAAGTTGTGTGAGGAAAAGCAAGACTTTAGAATTTATCCTTTCTGATGTCTTACTAGGCAAGGGTTTTTAATACTGCTTTATAAGTGTGTGTAATAAGATTATTTATATATTTATAAATTTAATGGGTCCGAGAAATAATTTAAATAGGAAATAAATTTAATACATAATAAAGAAGCATCTTAAATCAATGGGGGAAATGGAATATTCAATATATGATGTAGAAAAAATGATTTTTCAATAATTATAGGAGAAAATGAAGTTATATCCCTAATCTGTACCATTTTTTCTTAAAAGTTCAAAGAGGATTTATAAAATGTAATGTGAAGAACAAAATCATGAAAGTAGTAGGAAAAAAATCGCTAAAGATTTTTTTCTTTATGATTCTGGGGTTGAAGTGCCCTTCCAAAGTCAATATGATCAAAGTACGTTTGTGTGTGTGTGTGTGTGTGTGTGTGTGTGTGTGTGTGTGTATGTGTGTATGAAAATAGCAATAATGAAACATACTAGAAACTGTTATAAAGGGGAATTAAAAAAAAATAATATTGGTGGGGTGAATTCCATCAAATAACATGTGCATGTGTGTAAATACCACAGTGAAACCCTTTTGTACAATTAATTCATCTTAACAAAAATTTTTTTAAAGCCACAACAAAAGGTCTTCCCCAGTTTCCTGGAGGCAATTTCAGGCATTTACTTTCTTTTCTTTTCAGTGCTTGCCTATCAAGAATCTTCAGGCACAGGTCTACAAGAGGCCCACACAGTCCTTGAACTGACCTCAGCAGCCATGCTGGTAAATTCTGCACTTCCAGAGTTAATGATAACTTAATCAAATTGGTCACAACTTCTGACACAGAAGACTGAACTACAAAAAAAGAACATTCCTTTCATCTTTTTCCAAAGCAAATATACTGTTATTTTTCTCATCACTGTGACCAAAACACCTGACAAAAACAATGTAAGGTGTGGGGAGTGGATTATGAAAAGCCCATGAGAACTTGACATAAGCACAGTTGTGCTCAGTGATCTACAGGCTGAGTTAGGCATGGTCCCAGCCACAAAAGAGGACAAAATGCAGCACAGCTGCTTTTCCTAAGCTGTTTATGTTCAGAGGAGTAGAGAGCAGGTTTCTCATGTTAACAATGTCACACCCCTCCCCAAGAACTGTTGCTCTACCTCCTTGTTTACTATTGTATATAGCTGAAGGAGGACAGGAGGCTTATTGATGGGGTTGGATTGTGGGCTGCTTATGAGAATGACGCTGCTGCTGCTGCTGGCTGTTATGTGTCTGCAAGTCTGAGCACCAAGACTTTAAAGGGAACATGGGCCAGTGCAAGTCTGAGGGCCAAGACTTTAAGAGAGATTAAAGAAAACGTGGGACAGAGTCTAAGGAAAGAGACTTTAAAGAACAGAAAAGACGACTTTAGAAGTAAGGTTTTAAAAAATAGAGAAAAGGAGCAAAGTAAGAGAAGTAAAAAAGCAACAAGGCTGTTGTGTGTCTCCAAGTGCCCACCACACCTGGCCCCAACTTTATGCATGTCTGTCTTCTATCATTTGTCCTTTCTGCGTCTCCAGTCACCCCCAGTTAGGTCGGTAGGAGCAGAGCTCATGAGAAAGCTCGCAAGAATAAGGGAGCAAAGATTGATTTGGGGTCACAGTTCCAGAGGGTTCATTCCATCATGGTAGGGAAGACAAGTCCTCCCTGGTGGCTAGGAATAAAAGAGAGGAGCAGACTCGGGGCCTGATACAGCCTGGAAAGGCATGATCCCAGTGACCTACTTCCCCCAAAGTAGGCCCCACCTTCCAAAGTTTCCACAACCTCCCAAAATAGCACCACCAGCTAGAAACCAAGCATTCAAAACATGAGCCCATGGGGGACATTTTATATTCAAACCACAGCACTGGCCCTAGCCCCAAAGGCCCATGACCATCTGATAAAGCATTTAGTTCATCTCCAGGAATCCCCAAAGTTGAGTGTCCCAACACTGTTCAAAAGTCCAAATTCAAGTCTGAGAAAGCAAATGCTTGGTTGTGAGCCCCTGTAAAATCAGAGAGAGTATGTGATAGAACAATAATGTCACCATTTGTAAATTGGCAGCCGTTTTATCTTCAGACCTCACTTGAGAAACTCCCAAGGACAGCCCCGTCCTTAACAGAAATTCCTGGCTCTAAGACAGCCCCACCCCTACCAGAGACTACTGTGCATGCACCATCTTCCTTAACCTCCCCCTTCTATAAAAGCCACGCCTGGCCCAGAATCTCTGCTGCGCCATCTTTCCCCAGCCAGCCTGGCAGTTTGAGCCTGCCATTAAACTCTGCTCTTGGACTTGAGATTTTCTCATGAGCTTTCTTTGTGTGTGGCATTTTTCCTAACATTTGGTGCCAAAACCCAGGATTGGGTGCGCTCCTGGCACTGACCTTGCTCTCCCGGGGCCCCCCAACACCCCATACCACTCTCTTTCTCTCCTCCCATTCCCTTCCTCCAGAACCAGAGCTGCTTTGCTGGAACCCCCGATCCTAGAAAGTGCCACCCCCTCACTAGCTCACAGGAAAATTCCTCTGCCCCAGTGCGCCTCCAACCACCATCCACCACTGGCCAATCTTCCCTCAAGGTCCTCTCTCCCTCGGTGAGTCCTCCTCACATGCAGAGCTGTGCTCTCTGTCATTTCCTCAAAACCCTAGCGCTAGGTTGCAGCTCTCTTCCATCCCTGGGAACCAGGTTCCCCACTAGGGACTGTGGGCCCCCCGTGGTGAAGACGTTCCCTCTGAGTGCTCCACAGCTCTCTCTCTCTCCTGAGGACATGATATTTCAGGGACACCCACCATATCTCTCCTCATGTCAGGCCTCACTGTGGGAGTTGGACCATCCAAAACTCCTTCAGACTCCCCATTGGGATGTCTTCTGGCCAATCTTGGGCCCCTATGCCTCACACCTGATCTTAAGTCCCAAAAGCTCATTTTTCTCTGTAATCAGGCCTGGCCCCAATATCCATGAAATAATGCCTCCAAATAGCCATTTAATGGCACTTTTGATCCCAATATTTTAAGGGATTTATACAATTTCTGAGAGCGTGCTGGTAAATGGAACTTCCCTACATCCAATCCTTTTCTTATCTCTGCACCAAACCCTCCCTCTGCACTTCCTGTTCCCCTGCACAGGCTCTGTTAGCCTCTAAACCAGTCTCAAAACCAGCCAAATCCTCTTCCGAACCCCTTCCTGACTCTGAAACTTTCTCTTCTTTCAACCCTGCTAATGAGCCTCCACCTTATCAGAGACGGGCTTCCATTGTTCACCTGTCTGCCCCCGCCCCTCCTTCCACCCTTCCCTCCATCCCTTCTTCCGCCCACCCAGAATCACAGGATCCCATGAGCCCCCCACACACTCACTCTTATGGACCCCCCCACCCCCAGTCAGCCAGTTTCCATCTACCCTCTCTGAGAAGTGGCTGGAGCAGAAGGCATTGTGAGGGTCCATGTTCCCTTCTCCCTCACTGACATCTCTCAGATAGAAAAGCACCTTGGCTCTTTCACCACTAACCCAGATTCTTACGTTAAAGAGTTCCAATACTTTGCTCAATCCTATGACCTTACTTGGCATGACATCTATCTCATTCTTTCCTCCACCCTCCTTCCAGAGGAGAGACACAGGGTCTGGGACACGGCTAGGGCCCATGCAGATGAGGTCCATCACACCACCCCCACCCATCCTGTAGGGTCCACAGCGATCCCTACTGAGGAGCCTCAATGGGATTACCAAATCGGTGACAGAACGCTTAGGGATCAGATGGTTACTTGTTTAGTGGCGGGATTAAAAAAGGCGGCCCAAACAGTTGTTAACTTTGATAAACTCAGAAATCCAACAAGAAAAAAAGGAAAATCCAGCTAGTTTCTTGTCCCAGCTCACAGAGGCACTACAACACCATACAAAATTGACCCTGAAACTCAGGATGGGACAATCATTCTCATGACCCACTTTATCTCCCAGTCAGCCCCAGATATAAGAAGAAAACTTAAAAGGCTAGAAAATGGCCCTCGGACTCCACAGGCTGAAATTTTAAACATGGCCTTCAAGGTCTATAATTACGGAGAAGA